AACATAACTTTTTGTAGTTTTAAAAAAATCATTATTTAATGTTTATTTGTATAGAGACACATATATAGATACACATACTACAGAATTTATAGCTTTAAGCTAATTTGCCCCTAGATGGGCCTTTGAAATACACAAAATTCAGCAACATATTTGCAAAACAGCATCAAAACTCTATTTTCTGAACAAAGTCTAAAACATATGAACCAATTATGGCTAAATCTGAATGTTCTTTATGCATGTGAAAGAGATTTATATACAGTTTAATTTGAAAGGCAAGAGAGCAAAAGCCTTCACTCGAGGCAACAGTATACAGATATGTTTGGTGATGTGTGATTTACTATAGTGGTAAAACTGGAAGCCTTTGCTTGTCAAACAATAGAGCTGCTCTAGCCTCCGGTTAGCATATTGTTTAAGGTCTTAAGTCTTTAAGATATCCAGTGACAAGCAGTTTAGTTAAAATATTACGAAGGATTTGACTGTAACAGACCTGTGATTTAATGTACTATTATGCAGGCTTGTACATGTCAACCTTTTGCAGGAAACTCTGCTGAATTGATAGTGATTTAGTACCACTGACATATTTTTTCCTGCATTAGCTAGGACTATTCGCTAGTAAGACACATGGATGTGCAAGGTCTAGACCTGTTGCACAGACTAATGTTGTGCAACAGGTCACAAAAAAATAGAATGAGACAGATGTTGCTAAATGCCAAATGTAGAGGCACAAGACACATTCAAACACACTCACCTTTCTCAGTAGGTTTTTCTCCTTCCGAAGGTGTTGATACATTTTCTTTTTCTTTTCCTCCACTGACCTGGGTTGGCAGTGTGGCCTTTTCACACTGTTCTGAAAAAGACACCGCCACAAATTTAAAGTCCCCCTCTAGTCAAAAAGCACTGTTTCTTCTAGATCCTACAGTGTGTTGTTTGAATGCTGTCTGTGCAGAGTTTGACACTAGAAGGATGTTTTCACATTCATCATTTTCTGTGCTCATTGAAAATCTGATTTTAAGGGGCGTGTGATTGCAGGAAAACTTGAGAAACTAGCAACATTTGTTTTTTAATGTGAAAATTATACTTTTTTGTGGAAGAAAATACATATCAGACACACATTATTGTTTAAAGCTGACTATTTACTTACACTGGTCAGTCAAAACATTGAGAGCACTGACAGGTGAAGGGAATAACACTGATTATCTGGTTATCATAGCTCCCGTCAGTGGGTGGGATATATCAGGGAGCAAGTGAACATTTCGTCCTCCAGTTGATGTGTTAGAAGCAGGAAAAATGGGCA